ATATAAATATATGAGCTTGATGCAGCTTACGTACGTCTTCTCCAGTCTTTTGCACGATGGCATTGCGGAAGTACTCGTGTGACACTCCTTTTCGGAACAGATCGTCGAATTTGTCACTCACACCGGGTGCACCATTCTCGCCATAGAACCACACCAGAGGCACATTGCTCACACCCAGTTTGCTGAAGGTGGCCTGTACATTAGGTCCGTAATCCACCGACAGGAAGAAAATGGGACGGGTTTTGGTCAGAGGTGTGCCGTGCTGGTAGTAGTAGTTGCTGACTACGAGCTCGAAGTGCTCGCCGGCAGGGCCACACACGACGCATCTGAGAGGGCAGATTGTTTGGACGGAAGGTTAGTGCAAGATTAAGATGGATATATAGGTGTCCTGAAGTGTCCTGAAGGTTGAATAGGCACATTTAACCCACAAATACGTACATATATATATATATATATATACATATACGTACTAACATACATACATACGTACATACACGCACACACACACACACATATATATATATGGACGCATATACATAGTCGTATCCTATATGCGGGGTTCTTCTTTGGGTTACATAACGTGCTAGTAGTATAGAATTCATAGGACTTGAACGAGTAGCTCGACAGCAGGGGCGTACTTGAATGTCATACTGTACTACGCTATTCGGTACTATATTAAAATAATAACACAACCACAATAAGACATATTTGGCATATGTTGGAATTCATTGTGTTGCCAAGGGCAAGGTAAACTGGTGGCCAGTATGTCCTGTATGTACACACGCAAACAAGACAAACGCGCGCTCATATATACTTCATTCTGACTAAATGTACATACCAGTGCAATACAATTCATCAAACTCCATCGTACCACACTCTAAACACAACATAAACAGTACAAAATAGAGCAAGACACGAGTATAAAACCGCAAAGAAACACAAACAAACGCATCAATTGCAATCGGAAACCCATCAGACTATTCAAGATAAGACCTATGCGAGTATAATGCATCAGTTATACATGTCTCGAAAGTGTAAAATCACCAATCAAAATGAGATATCGTATCTGAGAAGACACACACACACACATGTACATACATGTATACATTCCCATTCCCATTCCCATTCCCATATATATATATATATATATATATATATATATATACATATATGTGTGTGTGTACACGTACACGTCTGTACATTTGTATGTATAGTGTTATATATATATATATAGATAGTTATATACAAGCACACGGACACAGACACAGACACGCACGCAGACACACACACGTGTACACACACACACACACACACACATATATATATATATATATATAGATACGTGTGTGATTTGAGTTTACTTCTATCATCACTCATGTGAGCGTATGGTATCGCACAAGCAAGCTTGAAAACGGCCGTAAATAAACGACACCATAAATATGATCAAGATTTATTAACCCCCATGTATGTTGCTCAATATATTAATATATAGTACTATATACACACACATACATATGTGTGTTCAATATGTGTATGAGGATATATCTGTATGGTAAGAATTGATCATATTTATATGTACAGATACATGAATTGATAAGATATATATATATATATATATATATATAAACAGACACAGACGCAAACCCACTCACGTATACACACACATGTATATAAATATATATACGCGTACACACACACACACGTATACATACACACACACATATATATAGATATAGATATAGATAGATATATG